TCTCCCCTCATCCTCTCCCCTCCTCTTCTTTGTCCTCCTCCCGTCCATACTTGTAGCGACTTCAAACATCGCGCCAAGGGCTTTTCGTTTTTTTTCGGCGCCTTGGGCGCGGCGGGGGGCCACGCCCAAGCACGCAAGCTGTTGCTTTCGCGTCGCGCGCGAATATAGGCAAGTCTCGCACCAAAGTTCACTCGTGCCTAGGGTCAGTCTTGCGCGTGTCCGAAACGACCTGATTGAGATGAACCGCCCAATAATCAAGCGTTGCAGAACACCTGGCAGAACAGCCGTACCCAGCAGCCGAGATAGATGGTGGCCGCCATCACGAACACAGGCGGCGCCGACGGAGGCAGACAGATCACGTTCGTCAGTCATATCAGCATCAACATCTGCACGCCCAGACAAGCGAAGCAGGCCGGCAGGATCGCCGATCAGCGCCTACACTGGCAGCCCAAATCCTCAGTGAAGACATCTTCGTCCGCAGAGGCGGCCCAGGCGCATCTGCCTGCGGCCGACGGCGAAAGGAGGAAAAGGCGACCGAAAGCCCCGCCCAGCCAGCAGAAGAGCTCCTGCCCCCACCGAGGAGGCCTCATCAAGAATCCGTTGCGGAACCATCGCCATCACCACCTGGGCGACGGAACAGACCAGGGTCGACTGCGCGGACATTCGCACGTGAGCTGCGTGCGCAAAGCGGCGCGTGAACGCCCCCTCTTTCACCGCAGCGCGCCGCCCCACCCGCCCGCGTAAACCGCGGCGTAATGTCGCTAGGGCATCTCGTGGCAGACCGGCAGACCTGTTTCTTGTCGTTGCTCGACTGGGCAACCGTTCGGTAGGACCAGAGAGCTTATCGAAGGCCTCCTGGCCACCATTCCGCGAAGGAAATGGGGTCACGAGCGAGCAGCGGCCCTGCGAAGCCTACGCTGAGGCCTGCGCGCCGAGTCAGAACCACGAAAGCACCCAACCCCAAACCCTAGACTTATACACATATATATATATATATACATGTACATATACGTATATATAAACATATGCAAACATACATACATACATACATACATACAAACATACATACATACATACATACAAACATACATGCATACATACATACATACATACAAACAAACATACATACAAACATACAAACATACAAACATACAAACATACAAACATACATACATACATACATACATATATACATACATGTATGCATGCATGCATACATACATACATACATACACATACACACATACATAACATACATACACATACACACATACATACACACAAAAACACATACATCCATACATCCATACATCCATACATCCATACATCCATACATCCATACATCCATACATCCATACATCCATACATCCATACATCCATACATCCATACATCCATACATCCATCCATACATACATACATACATACATACATACATACATAGAGAGGGACATGGACGTTTTCGGCGACCACGCCGTTTCCTGCAACATTGGGCCCTACTGGTCCGCGCGGCACAGCTCCCTCAATGGCATCTTAGTGCAGGCTGGCCGAGATGCCGGCTACGCAGCGCTGCTCGAACAGGTGGTCTCTGAGCTCGGCCTTACGAAAACGCCGCCGTGACGGGGGAGTGGTGCCCGAAGAGGCTGTCCTCGATGTGGAGTGGTTCGGTCACCCCACAGCGCCGGATCGCCTGCTGGACGGCACTGTTCGCCATCCAGCAGCAATCCGCGTCATCAGTGCTGCTGCCACCTCCCCAGTGGCTGCCGCTGAAGAGGGAGCCCGGTGCAATGAGGAGCGGTACAGGCCCACCGCCGGGAAGTCCGTACTGCCGTGTGCGGTGGAGACGTGGGGCTACGTCGATGGCAGACTCGATGGGCTTCTGGATGAGCTTGCGGTCCTCGCTGCCGACCCGCTGGGGCGCCCGGTGGCGCACGCTGGTCAGCGTGAAGGTCGCCATGGCGGTGGCCCGGGCGCTCCGGGACGCGGCGCCGTCGGCGGCGCGGCCGTGTGGGCCCTTTCGGTAGGTTGTATTACAGTAGTGGTAGCTCTGCAGACGGAGACAGCGAGAGAGAGATGCTCGTGCATCTTGGCGCGCCCGGCTCGATTCGCTTTCGACTCGGCGCCGATGCAGCCAGATCCGACTCACATTCCGACCCAGACCTCCGCCTTTATTTGTTCCAATGCGGCGCCCTTGGAGCTTTCGACACGACCCTTTCCCAGGGCCGGATTCTCATCCTGGGCTGTTTTTTGACAGCCCCAGGGCCCAGCGAGGGCGCCAGAAAGGCCAACATAGCAAGAAGCTTCGGGCCGCATTTTTGTCAAGACGCGACCAGGGGCTTTCGGCGTTACCCCAACATGTTAACACTACATGTGCGTCACCCCCCCCCACGGATGACGCGCGCGCCGAGAAATCTTGTAGTGTATGCTCCGTGGCTGGCGATTTCGAGCCATACCGCTCGGGAAACGGTATACTGCAAGATGCTTGTACTATGTGTTCGGTCCGGGCTGGCGCTTCCCAGGAAGGCGCATAGTGCTAGTACATTTTTTGGGGGCCCAGGCCGGCCACGCGCAGAGGGGGGCATGGGGGAGGGGGGAAGGTTTTTTAGAAGCACCCATGCATCTTAGAGGGCGCGGGCCTTCTCTGTAGATGCAGGGCCAGCGCCTTCTGAGGAGCAGCCTCCATCTACGCAGCCTTCCCCCCTTCCCCACACCCCTGCTGGTGCGCGCCGCGCATGACTGGCCTCGCAGGCCTGGGGTGTGCCGCCGCGTTTGTCGCCCCTCGCTGGGCTCGCCATGGAGGCCGTGGGGCGGGGCCAGGCCGTGGGGGAACACTCGGGGCTTTGCTGGGCCACCTCGGAGCCATGCCGATCTATCAGGCGATCGCAAACATGGATCAAGGGGGCGTGGATTAGCGATGGGTCTCGTTTCCATGGGAAATCGCGAACACTGGCGTCCGGCAGCTGTCGCATCTTTTGCGGTCTGGTGTCGTGGCCTCGTTGTGTCACCGTGAGGGTGCTGATTCGAACCTGCCCCCTCCACACCCAAATATATTTGAGCGGAATTCTTTTTGTGTTCTCCCGAGCAATGGCGAATTCCGCTTGCTCGGGCAACAATAACCACTTGCGTCCCCCCTTGCGGTTGCTGAACTTCTTCTGCTGGCCCCTGGGGGGGGGATCTTCGCTGGGGGGGATTCTTTGCGGGCCTTAGCGCCACCCGGGAAGGGACGAAGGATTGCAACGAAGGGTTTTTTTGAAATCCTTCGTGCAACGGGTTTTTTTTGCAATCCTTCGTTCGAGGGAGGGATTCAATACCCATCCGCGCAGAAATCCCCACCGCCCCTGGCGTAGTACTTGCGACGCCAGGGGGGGGGGCGGCCCGTCCTCCCACCTCCCCACCATAGGGGGGAGGTGCGAAGTCCCTGTGGACGGAACGGTGGGCACGGAGGGTCACCAAAGGCCAGAGGTGGGCACCATAAGCTTACCACCACCAACGGAGGTACACCAGATGTCCTCCACCCACTCATCACTCCGTGAATGTTTTGCTCTGATGTTTTGATGTCTCTTCATGTTTGCGCGTTCTCGATTGTCCGGGCCACCTTGGAGCCATGCTGGTCTAGGCCTCCTACATGGGTTTCGCAGGGATGGGTTTTCGCAATTTTTTCGGCGGGAGGTACTTCACAGCTTTTGGCCTCTGGGGCCCCCTTACCAGGCTTCGGGATCGCCATGAACGACTCAGGATAAGAGACCGGTCCCGGGGAATGAGTCGAGACCTCTGGGGGTCGCTGTTATGAACGAGTCATGACCTCGAGTGTCTGGGTTTCTAGACCTCCCAGATGGGGTCTCAGTAGATGGGGTCGGAGGATTGCGCCGCATCGCCGATGCATCGGCGATGCGGCTCGATGAGGAGCCCGATTTTCGCCACGCCGACGGCGGCGATGCATCGCCGACGTCGCCGATGCATCGGCGACGCGGCGCGCTCCTCTGACGGGCCCCATGTGGGAGGCCTCTAGCTGAGGCCTCGAAAGACAGGACGCCCTCCTCGCATCGTCGTGAAAAGATCACGCCCCGAGGTTTTTGGCAATTTTCGGCCTCCGGGGGGGGGGCATCGGCAGGCCCCGCCAAAAGGCTGCTCGTGGTGAGAAATCGACCCTGGGAAAGGGGTCGGGGCTTCCAGGAATCGCGCGCAGAAGATCAAGACATCGTGGGTCTTGAGTCTTGATGCTTCGGAAGGCCCTTTGCAGCTAAAGGGCGAGACTACCAAAGTCATGGATTCTGAGGGTTTTGGAAGGGTGGCGGGGTCCTTTGGAGGCTCCGTGGCCACTTGGAGTCGTCTTGGAACGGACATGGTGCCTCTTGGAGGCATGGTTTAAACTATTTTGAAAATCTTGTGCCATCTTGGAGCCACTCTGGCGCTATCTGGGGCCGCCTTAAGCCACCTCGGACGCTCTAACGACCCGCGACCCGTCTCATCCAGACCCAGGTGAGAGGCTCGGGGTAAGCATTTCCCCGCAGGGAAAAATTCAGGAGGGACAAAAAACACACAGACACAATTCATCGTCGACTCCCAGGAAAATATGGGAAAATATGTATGTGGTGGGGAAGACGACAACACGGAAAATTGGGAAATATGGGGAATCCTGTTATTTGTGTCTATTTATTCGTGTGTCCCAAGGCCCCTTCAAAAACGAATTTGGAAGAACTAGCTGCTTAAACTACCTGCGCCCAAAGGGTTGGTGTGACTTACTCATCCTACTTCTTCGCACTCCTGCCAGCCACGAGGATGCAGGGCACTTCTTCCTCGAAGTGGGGCTCTCGTGGCAGGGCAGGCCCATGGTGTGCTCGTCGTTCCAAGGGGTGCCCCCCCAAGGTGACGAGGGATGCCTGTAGTGTCGTTTGGGAAGGGTACTTAGGGCCGGAGAGAGCATTGCAGCATCGATGATGTATCCTCGATTTACTCAGGCCCTCCTCCTCCTCCTCCTCGTCCTCCATCCTTCGGCCTCGAGGCGGGCGTCTTCACGCAGGCCAGCCCGAACCCGGACCAGGCAGTGGTGGTGCCGGTCACAACCACCCTCCCGCAGGCGACCCTTTGTTCACTGTTCGTTGTCGTCGTCGTTGTCGTCGTCGTCGTCGTCGTCGTTGTTGGCGTCATCGGGCGCGTGCGGGAGGAGGAGGAGGAGGAGGAGGAGGAAGCAGAGGAGGAGGAGGATGAGGAAGAGGAAGAAGAAGAGGAAGAAGTGGAATAACAATAAGAATAACGAGAAGATGACCACGACGAAGACGAAGACGAAGACGAACACGAATGATATGCACATAATACGAATACGAATAACAAACACAATAATACGTATGAGAATAAGAAGAAAACGAATCATACTACCAATCATAAAACTGATCATCATTATTTACGACTACCACTACTACTACGACTACTACGACTACTATGACTACTACGACGACTAGTACTAGTACTACCACTACTACTATTATTACGACTACTATCACTGCTATTATTATTACTATTGCTATTACTATCACTGTTATTGTCACTATAACTATTATTATTACTATCGCTATTACTACTACTGTTACTGTTACTAGTACTATTACGATGACTAGCACTATTATTATTATTACTATTAATATTACTGTTACTATTACCATTACTAGTACTATTACTAGTACTATTACTATTACTACTACGATTTACTATTACCATCACTAGTACTATTACTACTACTACTACTATTAGTGTTACTATTACTATTACTGTTACTGTTACTATTACTACTACTATTACTATTACCATTACTATTACTAATTCTATTACTATGACTATTACTATTACGATTACTAATGCTATTGCTTTTGCTTTTACTATTACTACTGCTAGTATTATTACTATTACTACTAGTATTACTATTACTACTACTATTATTATTAGTATTACTAGTACTACCACTATTACTATTACTATTACTATTACTATTACTATCTCTATTACTATGACTAATACTATTACTATTACTATTTCTATTACTATATCTATTGCTATTACTATGACTAGTACTATTACTATTACTATTACCATTGCTACTATTATTATTCCCATTAGTAGTATTATGACTATTACCATAACTACTCCTATCACCATTACTATTACTACCACTATCATTATTATTCTTGTTATAATTATTATTTTACAATTAGTATTACTATTATTATCGCCATTACTATCACTATTATTATGACGATTACTATTACTATTCGTATTGTCACTCTTACTCTTACTATTACCATTACTATTACTATTACTATTACTATCACTATTACTATTACTGTTACTAGTACTACTACTATTACTATTACTATTACTATTACTATTACTATTACTATTACTAGTACTAGTACTAGTACTATTACTATTACTATTACCAGTACTACTACTACTAATCCTATTAGTATTACTATTACCATTACTATTATATTACTATTAGCATTACTTTTATTACAACCATTACTATTACTATTAATGTGGCTATTACTATTATTATTACCACGGCTGTTGCTATTATTCTTCACATCCGTACGATCACTATTACTATTGCTATTACTATTACTGCTACTCTTTCTATTACTACTACTATTACTATTACTACTACGATCCCGATTACTTTTGCTAATACTATTACGATTACTATTGGCATTCCTATTCCTACTACTATTACTTTCACTATTACCATGCCTATGACTATGACGATGACTATTATTATTACTGTCATTATTCCTATTCATATTACGATTACTATTTCGATTTCGATTACTGCTACTATTACTGGTAACATTACTATTATTGTTCTTATTACTAATACTATTGCTATTACTATTGGTATTGTTATTTCTAGTGCTACTTCTATTACTATTACGATTCCCATTATTATTACTATCACTATATTACTATTACTATTACTATTACTAATGCGTATGACTACGACTATTACTACTTCTGTTACTATTACTATTATTATTTCATATTATTATTACTACCACTATTACTACTAGTTCTACTGGTACTACTACTACTAATACTACTACTGCTACTACTGCTGCTGCTGCTATTACTACTACTACTACGACTACTACTACTACTTCTACTACTACTACCACTACCACTACTACTACTACCACTACTACTACTACTACTACTACTATTACTACTACTACTACTACTACTACCACCACCACTACTACTACTACTACTACTGCTACGACTACTACGACTACTACGGCTACTACTACTACTACTACTACTACTATTGCTGCTGCTGCTGCTGCTACTACTACTACTACTACTATTACTCATATGAATACAAATACTCGTACTTATACTGCGACTACTACGATGGCGAATACTTATTTGCACATGAGTATTAAGCACGATGCAAGTAATATTACCATGACACATACACACCAGACAACGCATACTATGACGTCTGAGGGCACGAAGACGAAACACGCGAAACCGATTAGCAATCATATTACTACTAGTAATAAGAGAAATCAGATTAATAACAACACTACGGGTAAGACGAACACGAGGCATGATAATCGGAGGAGGAGGGAGGAGGGAGGAGGGAGGGAGGAGGGAGGAGGGAGGAGGGAGGAGGGAGGAGGGAGGAGGGAGGAGGAGGGAGGAGGGAGGAGGGAGGAGGGAGGAGGGAGGAGGGAGGAGGGAGGAGGGAGGAGGGAGAGAGGAGGAGGGAGGGGAGGAGGAGGAGGAGGAGGAGGAAGGAGGAGGAGGAGGGAGGAGAGGAGGAGGAGGAGGAGGAGGAGGGAGGGAGGAGGATGAGGAGGAGGAGGAGAAGGAGGAGGGGGAGGGGGACGAGGAGGAGGAGGGAGGAGGGATGAGAGGGAGGAGGGGGACTGGTGGCCCAGGCGGGCCGCCAAAGCCCTGGCCAGCATGTGGCCCTGCTGAGCTCATCCAGATTCCTGCGATTCGATTTCGATGGTTTCCGATTCCGATTCCATTCGACTTTGGATTCCGATTTGGACTCCGAGTTCGTTCGCCACGGAGTCCTTACTGGCCTGCCGATTTCCGCCGATTCGACTTCTCCCGACTCGGCAGCCGATCTCCGCCGATCCGATTTTTTTTTGATCGCCGATGCGACTTGTCGATTCGATTCTGGGCCCCCCTGCAGGCTGGCCGCCAAAGCCCTGGCCAGCACGTGGCCTTGGGCCGAAACTGGGACAGTGCCCTATCCAGCCCCAGAGAGTTCCCAGATGGTGCGAGGCGAGACACTTGCTGTCTAAAAGGATCTATGCTTCGAACCTAATGTGATGGGCCAATGTTCCACCACCACTGCCATGTGCAGGACGGGGGAGAAGGGAGGATGGCGAGGTCCTCCTCTTATTATTCTTCTTATGCTTCTTCTTAGTCTTAGTATGTTTCTGCTTATTATTATTATTATTTTTATTATTCTGATTCTTCTTATTATTTTTTTTTATTAGTTGTCTTCTTCTTCTTAGTATTATGATTGTTATTATTATTATGTTTTTTCTTCTTCTTCTTCCTCCTCCTCCTCCTCCCCTATCTATGGTAGTAGTGGTGGGATATCGGCCTATCGCAGTGTTCTCGGGCCTGATGAATGTCAGACCCGAGACCTCAAAACCTTCTTGGGAATTTCAGCCTGAACCCTTTACGTACCACGCTGGGCCGTGGGAGGGGGCACAGGGTCTCCATGATATTCGAAAGCGCCAGTAACGCAGTTGTTAATTCCTATGGAATACATGGGGATCCATCTGGAATCCTCTGGAATCCTTTGGAATCCTCTGGAATCATATGGGATCCATGGGGATCATCTGCAATCCTCTGGATCCCTCTGGAATCCACAATCCCATGGAATCCTTTTAGAATCCCTCGGAATCCTTTCGAATCCTTAGGTATCCTCTGGAATCCTTGGGAATCTTCTCGGATCTCCTGGAACTCGGGGGACTCGTCAGCCAGGGCTGGCCTGGCCCATTCAGCAGAGTTGCAATAGTGGCACCAGGTGGCTCGAGGCTCTCGTCCTGGCAGGCTTCGCGCTCCCACAGCCTGCTTCACAGTCGGGCGTTCCTTTTTCCTGTTTCACAGTCGCGAGGCGCTCCTTCTGCCGTTTCTTATTGACGAAGGGTCGCCAATCGCGCGCTCTTCTGCCCACGCGTCCTTCTGGATGCTTGGCTCTGTGGTGGTGGCGGTGGTGGTGGCCTCATAAAGAAGGATCATACTCAGCTGGAAGCCGTATCTGCGCGCGCGAGAGTTGGTCCAGATCGCATCACGCACCAGGGCGCGAACGTACCCTTTTTGTACCCTTCTTTTTCACGCCGGGAACTTGTTCGGGCGGAGCCCTGTCGTGACGACATCGAGACACAGCCGACCCGACCCAGGTAAGACAGGCGGCCTCCGTTCGCAGGCTGTCTGTTCGGCAGGAGCGGTGGCAGCTGAGATCGCGGCAGCGGTCTGGAGCTCCGGCTCCATCGGCAGCATCCCGCAGAAAAGGTGCCCATCATCCAGCTTGGAGTTCACAACGCGCTCCAGCTGACGTATGACCGTTTGACACAGTAAATTCAGAAGCATCGAGAAAGAGTGCTGCTGCTGCTGTGGAGGAGGAGAAGGAGGAGGAGGAGGAGGAAGAGGAGGAGGAGGAGGAGGAGCAGCCAGAGGAGGAGGAGTGGGGACCGGCCTCGTCGGCCGCCAAGCGCAGCTCGGCCACCACCTTCGTCAGGGTGCCCGGCTGGTGTTTGCACCCAGCCCCAGCTGGCAGGACCGCCAGGCCAGCGCGCAGCCGACCCGCGCACAGCGGCACGGCACCGCGGCGCTGCGTGGTGCCACGGCACGACGGCACGGCACAAGGGCTCCCACCAGGGCGCGAAGTTATTCGCGCTTCGCGGTCCTCGTTCCTTCTCCCCCTCCTCGTCCTCCTCTTCTCCCTTTTGGGGGGCGGCGCGAGAGCGCGAAGTTATTCGCGCTTCGCGCCTCGCGCAGCGCGGAGCGCGAAGTTGGGAGCCCCAGGGCACACGACGACACCTCACCACGGCACGGCACCACGGCACGGCACCGCAGCACGGCAAGTAGTCGTACGCCGACCTCGCGCGCTCGAGCGACGCAGCAGGCCGCCAACCTGCAGGAAGGTACAGTTGGCTCAGGGAATGCAGTCACAATCGCCTCCACTGCTGCCAATCCTCCTGCCGCCACTCGAAGAGTACACGCCGGTCGTTGATGTAGGTATTTGTGAACTTGGGGATCCCATTCTGCTTCGGGCGCCTCCCGACTTCAATGATCGAGGGCTTTTCCCTCTTCCTTCCTCTTCAAGGGGGTGGGCGGAAGCCCAACCTGCTCACAACGCCTTCCTACTTCCTGTTTCTACCCCCTTCTTGAGGGAGGGAGGGATGGAGGAGGAGGAGGAGGAGGGATAATAGGAGGAGGAGGAGGAGGAGGAGGAGGAGGAGGAGGAGGAGGAGGCGCACGGCCGCCGACAGCTCTTACGACCGACGGGAGCACCCCGCCTTGCCGCCCCGCGAGTGCCCGAGGGCCGCGGGCCGCGAGGTAAGCCGGGCACGTCCCTCTGCAGGAGGAATCTTCAGAAATAGTAAAATTCAATAGTCTGGGGACGATTTTTCGACTACTTGTCGATGCTTTAAGAATCAGTTCTTGACTATTTTTTGCTGTTCGTCCAACCTCCGCCTGAGCAGCACGCGCCAGTGCCACGAGGCACACCTCGGCGGCCAGCTCCCGGCCAGCGAGGGCCCGCGCCGCCAGGTCCATCCGTGCGCCCACTCCAGCGCGGCCGCGCCGCGCCGCGCCGCCGTGGAGGGGCAGACCGCCAGCATGCGGTGGAGGCGCGAGAGGGGCACCGCGAGCAGGACCAGGCGCGAGAGGGGCACCGCGAGCAGTTCTTGAATATTTTTTGCTGTTCAGACACGCCCCACCTGAGGCTAGAGCCAGGCGCCTGGGGCCACTGGGGCCCGTGGCCTTGAGGGCCCGCTGCTTGGCAGCGAGGGCTTCGGCCCTGGCCTCTCGGGCTTGCGAGCGGGCAGCTCAGGAGGGAAAGAGACACGCAGACACAATCAATCGTCGATTCCCCAGAAAATATGGGAAGATATGGGAAGCGGGGGGGAAGACGAAAACCCAGAAAATATTGGGAAATATGGGGGATCCTGTCATTTGTGTCTATTTATTTGTGTGTCCCAGGGTCCCTTCAATGACATCAAACATACAAACTCAGAGGTCCGCGCGGATTTCTCGGATCGGCGCTGGGGCCCCCTGGCGGCGCCTCCTGCGCCGCCCCTGGCGCTCTCCGCGCGCCAGGGAGAGGGGTCCTGCTCGGATCCAAGAAATCCGCGCGGACCTCCGAGTTTTTTTTGTTCATGTAATTTGTCGTTCCCCTATCTCGGGCTTGCAACCCCAGCCGCTGGGCTTGGGCCGGCTGGAGCCCGAAGGACGGCAACACCTCCAGAACAGTCGGCCTCTTCGGGCCGTCGGTCGAGGTACCCGTTTGGGCCACGTCGGAGCAGAAAAGTGCCCAGCTCAGAGGTCAATTTCAGATTCCGAGGGCGACCTGAGCCTGAACGAGCGGTCAGTCCTTCCATCTCCTTAGTAGAGCACGGCGCCGCGAGCAAGGCGTGCCCGCGCACCCGCCACGGCCTGAGGTCGCCATCAGACGCGGCGACCGTGCGGCTCCCTCCTGCACAATGGGAGCTGGCCGCGGGAGCGCCGTCTCCGTCATCAGACTCGTCAGCGGGGAGGAGGAGGAGGAGGAGGAGGAGGAGGAGGAGGAGGAGGAGGAGGAGGAGGAGGAGGAGGAGGAGGAGGAGGAGGAGGGGACAGCGCGAAGGCCGAAATGTGAGCGGGGCGATGTGCGAGCGGGCTGGCCCGCGAGCACGGCCACCCCGACCGGCGCCCCCCCCTCGACCCGCGAGGTGAAACTGGACCGGCCGGTGGAGGTCGTCGAGGCCAGGCCGGGGTCGGCGGCTGCACGGGTATGGTCATTCGGGGGCGGCCAAGAGGGGGGTGATGACCAGGGGGGGGGGCACCCCCTTCACCGAGGAAAGAGCCAGCAAACCGAGGAAAGCAAACCCCCTAACCGAGGAACAACCCAAACCGCGGAAAACGCCGCGGCATAAAAAGTACCAGTCTAGGGCCTCCCTGGGGCCCCCCTCTTGGACGCCCCCGAGTTACGCCAGGGTGTGGTTTGCGGTCGGGGCCAGTTGGGGTTTGCCCTCGTCGGGCCTCCTCGGGGGGCGGCGGAGAACTCTGTTGAGGTCGTCGCCCGCCCCCCAGGGCGCGGGTTGCCAACCACACCCTTTGCAGGCAATACCTATACGCCTATACGACCAACCTTCGGGTGTGGTAAGGAGGCTGGGGGGAACTAACTGCTGGCAACTGCGATGGGTGTGAGTGATGATGACGATGCTGGTGGCGCGCCCTCGAGTTGGTGACGCCGCGTGACGAAGATGTTGCGCTGCGATGTCACTATCGACCCCGCTGTCGATCTCACTCGATCGATCTCACGGCCAGTCTTAGCATCGATTGATCGAGCGATCGATCCCATTCGCGATCTGACATTGAGTGGCGTTGAGTACGATCTCACTCGACCGATCTCACTCGACCGATCGATCTTTACATCGATATCACGCGAACGGTCTCACTATCGATTTCGCAGTCGATCTCTGAAGCGATCTCAATCGATCTCACAATGGGGCTCACAATCGATCCCACTATCGATCTCACTGCGATCTCGCAATCGATGCAACTACTGATCTCATGGTCGACCTCACTATCGATTCAACTATCGATCTCACTACCGATCTGACCACAACTCGGCCGTTATCCATCTCACTATCGATCTCACTATCGATCGGGACACCATCGGGACACCATCGGGACATCACGGCGGGACACTGCGGGACACCAGGGGGCACCGCGGGACACCACTGGGACACCGCGGGACATTACGGGTCACCACGGGACACCACGAACTTCCCTGGACACCATCGATACAAGCAGGACACCACGGCGGGACACCCCCGGCCACCACGCGTCCTCCGGAGGGCTGGACTTTTGCATCCGAATCGCTCTGGCGACGGCGGGATCATTCCTCTCGCGCGCCCACGACGAGACACCGCGAGACACCATCGAGACACCGCGGGACACTCCCAGCCACCGTGCGCCCACTGGAAGGCCAGATTTTTGAATTCGAATCGCCTTAATGACGGCAGGATCATTCCTCTCGCGCGCCCACGCAGCTTCGCCTCGCCCGCACGTGCGATACGAACACGAAACAGAAGCCGATTTCCCAGTGGGGGGCTCCCCGTTCCACTGCGATCTCACTCCCCAACCTCCGAACCTTCGGAGTCGCCGAGGGGGAGGAGGCTTGGGGGGTTTGAAGTTCGGGGTTGTCGGCCGTTTGCGCCAGTTCTCGGCTCTCCAGCCTCGGGGTGCTCTCCAGCAGCTGCGCCTCGCCGAGAGGCGTCTGGGGGTGACCAGAACGTCTTGAACGGTCGCCAGAGTCAGGCGATCGCAAACATGGATCAAGGGGGCGTGGATTAGAGACGGGTCCCGTTTCCATGGGAAATCGTGGATTCTCGCCGTCGAGCGCGGCTACACCAGCCGCATTTTGGGGAGGGTACCTCCCCCGATCCATGGATTTGGCGACCGCGCGCCTAATCCATGGATCGCTAATCCATCTTTGCGCACCCCCGAATCAGGAGAGGGCTCGGCTTCGGTCGGTTGGGTCCGGTCGGTTGCCGCACCGCTGCGACGTCGCCGCGCCGTTCTCGCCTGCGCTCGCTAGATTCGTCTTCGGTCGGCCCGGGCTTTGGAGGCTTCGGTCGGCTCGGCTCTGGTCGGTCGGTCATCGCGTCGCTGCCACGTCGCCAAGGGCTCCCACGCGGGCGCGAAGTTATTCGCGCTTCGCGCTTTGCGGTCCTCGTTCCTTCTCCCCCTCCTCCTGGTCCTCATTTTCTCCCTTTGGGGGGGCGGCGCGAGAGCGCGAAGTTGTTCGCGCTTCGCGAAGCGCGAAGCGCGAAGTTTTTTTTGGCCGCGCCTTTTTTGGCCGCGCCTTTTTGGGGCGCGCTCGCTTGATTCGTCTTCGGTCGGTTTAGGTTCGGAGGTTTCGGTCGGCTCGGTTCGGTTCGGTTCGGTCGGGCCGCGTCGTTGCCACGTCTTCGCATCCTTCTCGGCCGCGCTCGCTTGATTTGTCTTCCGTCGGTCTAGGTTTCGGAGGTCTCGGTCGGTTCTGTTCGGTTCGGTCGGGCCGCGTCATTGCCACGTCTTTGCATCCTTCTCAGCCGCGCTCGCTCGATTCGTCTTCGGACGGTTCAGGTGTCGCTGTCGGTCCAGCCATCTTGTCGGGGCGCACGTGTGGGGGGGTCAGCGCTGACCCCTGACCTCCGCCGATATGGTTTTTTCCAAACCAAGGGCCCAGATGTCCACACAGCTTCCCCAGGAACAGTTTTTCGTCCTGGTCTCATTTTGTTCGTCCCTGGTCTCGAAAACGGCACCCGAAGGCCGAAACCGAGTAAAAAAAACTGCCGAATTGACAAAGCAGTGTCGTCGGAAATCCGCGTCGGGGTGCACGTGACGGTGGTCTCAAGAAGGTCAGCGAGTCCCCTGTGAGCGACCCGGGTTCGACAGCCACGGAGCCCCTCCGCTGACCCAGGCCTGGGAGCTACTCATGCGGCAGGCCTGGGATCACGACGCTGGCCCCGGCCTTTCCTGGTGCGGGGGGTGGCAAAGAGGGGGGGTGAGGACTAGGGGGGTAGATATCATGGCGTGGGCCATGGCATGGCCTCAGATTTCATGGCGCCTCTTCTTATTTTGTTACGTCCCTGCCCCCCCCTGGGCCGCGCACATGCCGCTGGTCATGATTTGCACCCGTCCATCTTGGACGCCCCCCTCTTGGCCGCCCCCGATGGTGTCTGCAATGACCTGGTTCGCAGCGCGTCCCCGACCGGGGGGCCGGGAAGGCCGAGGGCGAATCGGAGTGGACCGAGGTGTTTGAGAGGCCTCTCTTGGGGGGGTGGGGAGCTCCGGGGGCCTGGGAACCTCCGAGGAGACGGCAGCAGGGGTGGGGGGAGTGAGATGGAATGAGGCCCATGACCTTCCTGGAGGGCTCATAGCTCCTGGACGTGCGAATCGAGATTCCACTCGAGGTTTTGGGCAGTCCAGGGGCGTATGGATCCGGAGAGGGCTATTTTTGAAAGCTCCGGAAGGTCGGGGATAGGGTAGTACTTCTTGAGCCGCGCATCCTCGTGCATCTTCCTCCCCCTCCTCCTCCTCCTGCTGCTCCTCCTCCTCCTCCTCCTCCTCCTCCATTCTTTTTCCTTCTAAATTCTTTCTCCCTGTCGCACCCCGAGGCCAGTTTTTAGGGCGGGCCGGGCGTTTCGTTTGAGATTTCCTTATCATTTATGATTCTGAAGCGTAAAAATGGCAACAGTTTCACAGATGGAGGGCGGGTGGTTTTCAAAATGTGGCTCTCGCCTCAGCGCCGCGCACATTCTTGCTAAACGTTTGCAAGAGTTCCACGGATTGAGGGCGACCCGCTTTCAAAATGTGGCTCTCGCTTTAGCGCCGTGCACATTCGCTTACAATTTTTTCAAGATCACGGGTTCCCATCATCAACGTACCAGAAATGGTGTTTTGGAAGGGTTCAGGAGTATGCGGGTGCAGCAGTTACGTTGATTCTTTGTGTTTAAGTCCCAGGATTTGGCGTTCTGGCACGATTCAGGATCGTCAAGACGCAACAATCAGGTTGATCCGTGGCGTCAGGTTGATTCGTTTTCAGAGTTTGCAAGAGTTTCACGGCTTGAGGACAACCCGTTTTCAAAATGTGGCTCTCGCCTTAGCGCCGCGTGCATTCGTTTTAAACAGTTGCAAGAGCTTCTCGGATTGAGGGCGGTTCCTTTTCAACATGTGGCTCTCGTCTTAGCGCCGCGCACATTCGTTTATGAAATTTGCAAGACTTTTCATGGATTCCCATGATCAACGTACCAGAATGGTGTTTTGGAAGGATTCAGAATTTTGCCGGTGCAACAGTTACGTTACGTTGGCTCGCGGTGTTGAAATCCCAATGACCGTTTTTCTGGCACGATCCAGGATCGTCAAGACGCAACAGTCAGGTTGATCCGTGGCGTCAGGTTGATTCGTTTTCAAAGTTTGCAAGAGCTTCACGGTTTAGGGACAACCCGTTTTCAAAATGTGGTTCTCGCCTTAGCGCCGCGTGCATTCGTTTTAAACAGTTGCAAGAGCTTCACGGATTTAGGGCGGTTCCTTTTCAACATGTGGCTCTCGTCTTATCGCCGCGCACATTCGTTTATGAAATTTGCAAGGATTTTCATGTATTCCCATGATCAGCGTACCAGAATGGCGTTTTGGAAGGATTCAGGATTTTGCCAGTGCAACAGTTACGTTGACGCGCGGTTTTGTTATCCCAAGAGTGGCGTTCTGGCACGATCCAGGATCGTCAAGCCGTAATAGTCAGGTTGATCTGTGGCGGTTGGATTCCCGAGAACAATGTTTTGGCATGCTTCAGGGTCTTCAAACGGTTGTCGTCCAACGAGGCAGCTCCCTCAATGGAGATGAATCGTTGTAGGGGCCCATGAAGAGGGGGCTTGGAGGGAGAGTGTATCCCAACATCTTTACTGGCTCGTGGGTTTACACTGTCCTCCTCTTCCTCCTCATCATCCGCCTCCTCCTCCCTCCTCCTCCCTCCTCCTGCCTCGTGGCACGGAGGTGGCCCCAAGCGCCCTTGTGATTCGGTGCCCGAGTCGGGTCCCGGCCCACCTCTGCTGCCTTCGCTCTTCGTGCGCCCAGTCGGCGCGCTCCAGGAGGGGCCTTGCGCACTCCCAAGGGGCCGAGGAGCTGACGCCCCTGTCTCGGCGGGGCTGGGCGGAAGGCCGGCGGAAACGAGGCGGGGGATGGCTCCGGCGGCGGAGGCCGCTCGAAGCAAAAG